TTGTTATGGGATTAGTGGGAATTCCAAGAGAATCAATAATTTTATTTATTTTATTTGTGTCGTCAATGAAATTCTCTCTATCATTATTACCCTGAGATTCAGAAAGACCGACTATGACTATCGATCGTGCTTTTTCTTTATCATCAGGGGATAATGGAGGATTTTCATTTTGAAGCTTTTTTTCAATATTAGTAATGGTAGTTTGTAATGCATTAATTTGTTCGGATTGTTTAATTACGAGATTTACAAGTAGATTGATGGTAGAAATTAAATCGATATTAGGGTCAGAAGTATTAGGGGACGAAGGAGAGATACCAATTGATGTCAATTTATTACGAATCGTAGTCAAACGAGAATCTGAGTCATTATCTGAATCAGTTTTCTCTTGACACGAACGTTTTCTATTTTTATTTTCTATTTTTATTTTTTTCTATTTTTATTTCTATTTTTATTTTTATTGAACTAAAATTATTAAATTTGTTTTAATTTAATTCAGTAAAGCAAGCTGGGCTATAGCTATTTCTCTCTTTCAGCTATGTGCAAAAGGTTAATCGGCGGCTGGTGCGAACCAGCATCTTCAGTGGACCGGACTGATGTGTTAGCCACTACAGCACGCCGCCTACTGCACAGCCTTAGGAAATTAATAGCTATATGCTTTACAATTCGGATTTGATCGTTTTTATCTTGCTATGAAAGTATTAAAATTAATTCAGATTTTATATTCTTTTTGTTTTAATTTAAATCTGATCTGATAAATTATCTAATAAAATTACGTCAGCGGTGAAGAAATATGAATCCTTTGGTGTCGGTAAACGTCCATCCAAGGTCGAGTCCCAATAAGCCAAACAAACATCTGTCGATTGGAAAAGTTTGTATGAAGCTTCTCGCATCGCTAATTCATAACTTTAAATTTGTTCAATTTTTTGTTAAATTTTTTAATTTATTTTCATACACTTTAAGCAGTTCTCTATGAAATAACAAAAAGTCAGGGCCGCCGTGTGCCCCACCTTCCTCCCAGGCTTGTAAATGTAGTAATGCAATGATATCAAAATCATTATTTGCTTTCATTTCTTTTATGGTTTTGAACTTAAATTTAATTATTTTTAGAATTTTAATAAAAAATATGAAATGTAGAGTTGTACCCACCGGGGGGGGGGTCCATAAAAGTTGAGTTAATACCGGTTGGTTAGGTGGTTAGGTGGCTACGTAGGTGGTTAGGGGCTACGTAGGTGGTTAGGTGGCTACATTTTATTCTAAGCGAGTGCTAGGTTCTAATTACACACTTTACGTTCTTATTTTTATGAGAACGAATCTAAGCTGCAAATATTATCAAAATTTTTTGAAAAGCGAAAAAATGTTTCCCGTCAGTGAACTACCCTACTGAAAGTTGTGTTTTTAAAATAATTCTGATATTTTTGAACAATTTTGGTTTTAATTAATTTAATATATAATTTACATAAGCTTCTCTTTGTTCATCTGACAGCATTCTAATTTCACGTCTAATACATTTTCCAATTGGTTTATTGTTGGGAAGTATACAACCATTTACAGAACCATCTCTTTTACCTTTTATTAAGCATTTTTAATTTTTTTAAATTTTAATTACCATTAACTGCAGGACAAAAACAGCTCAAATTTACACATCTCAATTCTGGCCTGCTGGAAGGTAGTTCCCCTCTAGCTCCTCGTACTTTTCAAAAAAAAATTATTTTATTCAACTTAAAATAGACTTACAATCTGGGTCCTAAATTTAAAATTAATTTAAAAAATTTTCAAAAATTAATATTATCTACCCATTTATTATACTTTACAGCGTCCAAAGCTACACAAAAATCCCTTAAAGCTGGATCAATACCTTCGCAAATAGCCTTTACATTACCAAATAAAGTTGATAATATTATATAATGTATTAAAAGTATTAGACCCGATTTTGGTTGAAATGATAATTTCATTTCTGAAAATATTTTTTTGATTGTGTTAGATAGAAGCTTATTATAAAGACATATAAAGACTCTCTAGGGTAAATGTCCTGTTGGCTATCTACCTTTCCGCGCAAGTTATTTTTATATTTTTATCCCCTTCCCCATATTTCTGAGACCTACCTGCGAGCAGACATGGTCATGTATACGGATATGGATACAGATAATACCAAAATGCCTGCGGATATCCGCCTATCCGTCTGTATCCGCCGTAAATATCCAGATACAAATACCAAAATCCGTATCCGTGTCCTAGTCTGTCTGCGAGCATTCAAAAAATTGTAACCTTAAAAATTTTTTCAAATTTGGAGAAAGGATAGTGTTGGCCCTAAATATTATGGTCCTGTTCCGCCTCACATCCCATGAATATTTCAATAACACATCTAATTGTAACGGAAAATTTTCCAAATAACTTAGCTAAATGCTCGCTAAATATCTTCCAATTAGTGTTGTCCTTTTCAAAAAATTTTTCGGAACCAAACCGAACCTAAAATCATATGATTTTTGTTTCAGTTCGGTCCGAAATAGGCAACACTACTCTCAATAGAATAAAATAGTAACAAATTCAATGATAAAATTAGTTAAAAAATAAATAAATGATGAAATAAAGTTAGAAATATTTTAAAATTTTTGTTGTTAAAAATTTCTTTTCTTTAATTTATGTTTTCATTCTAAAACATACATGTCATTCTAACACGTATAATTTTTTCCTAATTTATTTTTAATTTTATTATTTCCATGTTGTCATCCACATCATATATTTTTCTAATTTTTATTATTAAGTCGCCATTTTTTGACTTTATTTCTAAAAAATAAGTTGCCATTTGTTTCATAGATTTTATAAAGAATTTTTTTAATGTTCCAAAAAGCCACGCCGTTTAGGACCAAAAATGCCACGCGGGGCAGAACATCTTCCTATAAATTTATTATTTTTTTTATTTTTATTATTGTAGATAATTTAAGAAGCTTTTTAAAGATACTTGTGTTTGAGGAGCCAGGTTTTGGTGATGGCTTTGAATTTCATAATATAGTTTAAAGAATTAGGATTAAAACTATAACTTTTTGTAGCATTATACGCCGTTAATTTTTGTTAATAATTTGAAGAAAATATAATTGAATAATTTAAATTAATACACCCTTATGGCTAGCATCAGCAATGAGTTTCCTTTTTAGCCCGGAATGTTTTGGTGGCCCCCTCACCAAACCCAATTAGTTTCCCTTGCTCCCTCCCATAATTAATCTTGAACACGCCACCAGGAAAGGATTTCCCCTTTATCGCCTCCCCCATAGCAACCCCTTCAATAGGCTGGTGTCTATAGGGGCAGACCTCTCCTCCAACCAGACCCTTCAATAAGTTGTCGGCATTTCACTTTGAAACGAAACCCGAGGTTTACATACATATTTTAGGTTTTTAAAACTCAGGATCCGTTCCTAATAATAAAATAACAAAAATGAAAAAAATTGTCTGAAAATAAAAATTTAGAAAAATTTATGATGTGAATGACAACAACAAGGAAATAATAAAATTCAAAAAAAATTGGAAAGAAATTATACGCTTTAGAATGACATGTATGTATGTTTTAGGATGAAAAACTAAAGACAACAACAAAAATTTTTAAAAACATTTGATCATTTATTCTTTGTATTAATTTAAAAATTATTTTTTTATTTAAAGTTTTTATTCCAAAAATTTAAATAAACATTTAAAAATGATGTAATTATCATTTTAATTATTTTGTTAAAAATTTTATTTTGTTCCTCATATCATATATTTAAATTTTATTATTTGATAGACACTTCCATCAGTAATAAAAATTCCGAAAATATTTTCTTAAAAATATTTCTATTAAAATAATTTTCTGGGTTTGTTGTTACCTATTTTATTGGGGTAGTGTTGTCAGTTTCAGATCGAATATAAACAAAAATCTAAAGATTTTTAGTTTTTGGGAGATATCTAGAGATGGATTAACAAAGTTTTTTCCGGAATATTTTCCGTGTAACATAAATAATTAGCCCCCCTTGAGTAAAATTATATAAATATTTTTTAAAATTCAACTAAATGTTTTCAGACTTCAAATTATATTTTTCTATGATCCTAAGAGAGTTGCCTATTTTCTGGCAAAAAATCAGAATCATAGGATTAAGTTGACAGGAGTTAGAGGAAATACTAAAACTTGTATTTCTGAAGCTAGGTAAATTCTTTTTGATTTCATCGGATGTGATATGGAATATGTAGTACTATTATAGAATTAGTCACGAAGCACAACGGATTGTGCCTTCATCCAACCAGAGGATGGAATAATTTTTTTTTCATTCTATTTTTTCTCTAAATTTTTTGAGTCAAGTTTTTGTATGTGTGTATATAGACACTTCCTTATCACCCAGGAAGTCTCGTGGTCTCAGAAATGTGGGAAAAGGGATAATAATAAGGGGGTGGGGGTAATAATATTATTTAGGTGATAAAGGTAGATCCTAAACAGGACATTTACTCATGAGTCATGTCTTTACACTTGACTGAAACAATCAAAAAAAATTTTTTTCAGAAATGAAATTAACATTTCGACCAAAATCGGGTCTAATAATTTTAATACAGTATATAATATTATCAACATTATTTTGTAATGTAAAGGCTATTTGCGAAGGTATTGATAAAGATTTAAAAGAATTTTGTGAAAAATTGGACAAAATAAAGTATAATAAATGGGTAAATAATATAAATTTTTAAACTATTTTAAAATTACTTTTAAATTTAAGGACCCAGATTGTGAGTTTATTTTAGATTTAATAAAATAAAATTTTTTTGAAAAGTACGAGGAGCTAGAGGGGAACTACCTTCCAATAGACCAGAATTGCGGTGTGTAAATTTGAGCTGTTTTTGTCCTGCTGTTAATGGTACTTTTACTTTAAAAAAGTGAAAAAAATAAAAATATTTAATAAAAAGGCAAAAAAGATGGTACTGTAAATGGTTGTATACTTCCAAACGGTAAACCATTTAAAAAATGTTGGAGGCAGGAGATTAGAATGTTGTCAGATGAACAAAGAGAAGCTTATGTAGATTATACTATTTTAAATTTAAAAAAATTCCCCGACTTTCATGGACTGGGTACAACGCTACATTTCAGAATTTTTATTAAAATTGAAATATTTAAATTTAAGTTCAAAACTATAAAAGAAATGAAAGCAAATAAAGATTTTGACATCGCTGCACTGTTACATCGACAAGCCTGGGACGAAGGTGGGGCACACCGCGGCCCACAATTTTTGGTATTTCATAGAGAAAAGCTTAAAGTGTAGGAAAATAAATTTAAATTTTACAAAAATTTCTACAAATTTTGAGTTTTGAATTAATGATGCGACTAGCTTCATACAAGCTTTTCCAATCAACAGATGTTTGTTTGCCTTATTGGGATTCGACAATGGATGGTCGTTTGCCGACGCCAGCTCATTCTTATTTTTTCACCGCTGATGTAATTATTAAATAATTTGATAAAACCATCAAATAAGAGTTAAATTAAAACAAATTTAATCATTTTAGTTCATTGGAAGTACAAATTCTACTGGACAAGTTATTGATGGGCCTTTTTCACCTTGGGAAACATTAATGGTTTCAAAAATAAAAATTATTCACTATTTCAAAATTATTTTATTAGAATACAGATTATATTCAAAGAGACGTAGGTAGGCATGGAAGCTGCTACAAAGAAGAATAGTAATTTTATAAATTGGTATCCTCCACAATGGGTAAAACATAGGATTGGTCCCCGACAAAGGGGGGGGAATAGAAGAAATTAGCAAAGGTTCTGATTCTGATTTCTCTATCAAAATAGTAATAGCATACATCTGTTTCTGAAGTCAAATGACGGAACAAGAATAAGCGGAGGAATAAAAAAGTTATTCCATAAGAGTTATTCCAGCATAGCATTATCCAGCATAGCATTATCCAGGCTTTACAATATTATATCTGAACTCCTCCAACGATCATTCTGAAAGTAATTAAATAATTACAGCATTAATTGGCAAATGAATCAAACAAAGATTGAAAATATCATTGCATATACGTCGATATCAGATTCAGGAAAGTGTTCTAGTAAAGTATATTCTGGAAATCCCGAAGTTTGTAAAATTTTAGTAAAAAGATATAGTCATAATTTATAGTTGGCTCATGGTGGTCCTCACACATTTATCGGCGGAAATATGGCATATATAACTGAATCAGCAAACGACCCTGTTTTTTACAACCATCACTGTTTCGTTGATTATGTGAGAAATAAAAAAAATAAACTTTTAATTTTGTAATTTTCCTAGCTTTTCGAACAGTGGCGTAAAGCAAAACAAAATTATTCTCAAAGGCCAGTACAATATCCACTTGATAATGATGTATATTTTTAAAATTTATAATTATTAGAGCTAGGATTTTTAGGTTCGATCAAGTTAAAAATAGGCGCCTATATAGTCACAAAAAAACTGCCAAAATAGGCACCTAAATTCGAAAAAAGTCAAAATAGGGCATTTAGCCGGAAAATGTTAAAATAGGCAATTTATGGCAACGATGAAAATAGTTAGTTTGAAAATAATCCTAGCCCTAATAATTATGTTTTTGAAATATGAATTTATATTTTAGGCTTGTGAAACAGAAATTCACTTCAGAAATGAAAAAATGACACAATTTCCAGTAATTTGTTTTATTTAAAAAATAGATAGGGAATAAGATGGATATTGGCATAAGATGGGCATAAGATGAGTAATTAGAAGAAAATTTTCTGATTTTTCCCTAAAATTTCCCTAAATAATTGTATGTTATCGTGTGTATATCCTGAAACCCCCGAAAATTTTCTTGTCGGGAACGGGGTTTTACATTTTCGGTGCGGGGTTCGAGTCGGGGATAAATGTGAAAAAAATCATTCGGGAACGGTGTGCAGGTCTGGGTTATAACCAGAGCTGCTTCGAAATAAAAAATCTTCAAAATTCGGAAATTGAAAGAAATCCAAAAATATCGAAATCGAAAATCGAAATTTTATGAAAAAATTCAAGAATCGGAAATCGAAAATCGGCAGAAAAAACATCGAAAATCGAAAATTTTTTAAAAATAAATAAAAGAGTATTAAACAATCCGCAATATGTGATATAAGGGTTAATCTTGAGATATAAGGGGATTCAATGGATTAAGGGTAGTCTTAAGGGATATCAGTGATCGAAGGCAATATCCACCATCCTAGCGATATCCATCACTACTGTTTTGTTACTTACGGACTATTCCATAGAAAGGAGAAAATATGATAAATCAAGATATTAATTGATCATTTTGTATAATAAAGTATATTATACAAATATATTTTCTAGTATATAAGAAATATCGATGGATGCAGAAACGAATATACGGACAATATGTATGAATATGCTCCGAGGCCAACTTGTAGCCTGAAGAAGCCAGATTGTGGCTCAAAGTAGGAAGAAAAATTAAAAAAATAAATTTTAAATAATAGATATTTGTTCTGCGACCTCTCCCATGTAACTCCCCGTTGCACAGCAAAAGCGCGTCCAGGGGGAGATTGTAAAGGATTTTTCAAAGGTGTATAAAATTATTATTAAATTCAAAGATAAATTTTACTTTAATTTAGGTGAAAAAGTTTGTTATAACAGTGAATGTGTGAACAATGTCTGTGTTCGTTACCCGGTAAATACATATTGATATTAAATAATTTGTTGGATTCTAAATCGAATCAGAACTCGAAAATCGAAATAAATCCAAAAATTTTGAAATCTAAAATTATTTTCAATAATTAAAGTCTTTAATAATAAAATCTTCAATAATTAAATTTTTAATAATAAAATAATTAAAGTCTTCGAAATCAAAATTCGAAAGAAAAATAACCTAAAGTATCGATGTCGAAGTCGAAAATTTGAAAAATTACTGGCTACCTGATGGGCTTGTAAACTGACCATTTTACTGTAGGACTCGGAGTTTTAAATAGGGTTGACAGATTTTGTGAAATTCTCGGATATCTGCATCCAGAACCGCATCATATCCAAAATTTTAAATATTCGGTTGAGTAAAGAAATTTTTATAAATGTCTCCCTTCAACTACCTTAAAATAACGAAATCTCTTTATATCCCTCTACTTTTGATTAATATTTTTAATATTTCTTCCTTTTTGTGCCTCAGCCTACAACGACGGCAGCTCCAACGACGTCAACTCAGCCTCCATCGACAACAGCACCTTACGATGAAGACGAAGTCGATTTTAATTTTTTTAACTTCTATAATTGATTTCATTCCCAAAATTTTTAGGACGATGACTGAGAGAATTGTTATTAAACTGCAAGAATTGATATTATATGCATATATTCACGAATAATATCTTGAAGGATTTTTGAAATTTATAAACATAAATTCTTCGAAATAATACTATATACATTAGGATTGTTGGTTTCACCAAATTATCGGTTAACTGAACCGACAAAACGAGCCGAAACATTCAGTTAACCGAAACAGGACCGAAATTATTAGGTTAACCGAACCGAAAATTAGTCGGCGATTAAGTGATATCCGTATTTACTCGATTAATTCCCCCGAGGAATTATTTTTTCAACTCATCCCTGTCATGGGGAATTAATAGGGGGTGGGGAATTATTTGAGGTTGGGGAACTAATCGAGTAAATACGGTATGTGGATTAGGCAGTGGAGTATATAAACTGATTTGTTCGGTAGTGGATTATGCATATTAAGTAGTGTAGTATAAAGGATTGAATTTAAAACTCAAATTGAAGCTTACAATTCCTTATAACTACTATTATTCAAACTACAGATTAATATTAAAAAATAATTAAGAAAATAATAAATTTATCTTTAAATAAAATGTATGTTGTAATAAATCACAGAATAAACAAAAATATCTGATGTATTTATTGTTTCTTCTATATCTGTGAATTCTACTAAAGTGAATGTTTCGTATGTTTGGTTATTCTCATGCAGATTTTAATTTTTCAACTAGATTTTTTACCTATATTTTATATATACCGATTTATATACCGATTTTGCCCTTTGTTGACGGTAAGTTTATTCTCGGTCATGTTCCTCATCCATGTCGTGGCCTAATAAATAATATGCATCAACGTATCGTGTTGTTTAATTTTCGAAAGAATCTCCTTCCAATTAATCACAGAATGATGAACACATTGTATTTCAGACAAATCAAGATTAGACAAAGTAGAAAACGGGGTTTTATGAGTAAGACTTTCATTTCCTTTTATTTGGGGCATTTTTAATGAAGGTAGGGGAGAGCAAGGATTCTGATCATGGATTTGTTTAAAATCATTCAAAAAAACATTAAAATTAGAAGGGATGACAAAGTATTTACGATTATTCAGAGGGGTTATTTTCAATCTCTTAGGATGTATTTGGCGGGCAGTAACATCGGATCGGGAATTGTTTATAATGGTTGGTTCTCGGTTTAATTGGTTGGGCAATTTTTTCCTTTGTCTTTTACGAGATATTAGGCTTTCTTTTCTTTTTTCTATACAAAAAATTTCCAGATAATTAAGAGTGTGGGGTAATGGTTTATTTTCTTCCAATATCTCTTCTGATGTAGAAATATAATCATTTTCTGATGAATTAATATTCGTAGTTTCAATTGAAGAATTAAAAATAATAGATGAAATAGACTGTTGCAAATTTTAAGAAATATAAGGGGATGTTCTGGGGATAAATCAGGAATTAAGTTGTCAGTTAAAACAAGGGGCATTTCTTTAGAATAATTATAAGCTCTAACTTCATTATCTTCATTTATAATCTCTTGTAAGGGGGTAGATTCTTCACAAATATTATTAGTAATACAAACTTCATCAATAGGAGTAAAGCCGGGAGGGGGACTAATGGGTCTTTTATTAATAATTTCATTTGTAAATCTTCTATTCAATACAACATCTTCACTCATCTGATTGTTTAAATCGTTAGGATTCTTTTCAACATTTATTTCTTTTATAGGGGAAAAGCCAGGAGGGATAGCAAGAGGGTTAAATCTTTCCATTTTATTATTTGGACATTTGATTTTAAAAGAATAGCACTCGGGGAATAATGGTTGTTGAGGAGAATGGACTTGTTCATCAATAGACGGATAATCTCGAAAAACTGGAGAAATATAAGGTTGGGTGTGAGTAGGAGGTGAATAAAATATGTTTGGCTTGGGTTTAGCCGAATATGCCAGAGTCGGCGCCTCTTCTTGCGTAACGGGTGAAAGAGAAAATTGTCCTTTAGCTGGGGGATTTAAAAACAAATTAGATTGAATAGGTGGCCGGTTTCGATAAGAATTAACCATAGAATTTGCATAAACTGATTTTAATGAGGTTTGAGTATTTTCATTGAATTGCTTATTCTGGGAAGGGTTTAAAAGAGGAAGTTCAGGAAGGAGATGAGAATGGTCCAATGGGGGTTTAATTTTCGGTAAGTTACTTTCTAATTCATGTCGGGAATTTCGAAGCTTTCGTAGATACCGTTTAAGGTCGTACATAATTTTTATATAATTTGTTTCTTGTAGGAATTTCTCTAAAATTTGGCTATCATTTGCCCTTTCATTTTCTGACATGGAAATTCTTAATTTTGCCACAAATCGTGGGCCATTTTAAAATCATTTAGGATTTTGGTGATCTCTTGGGAAGTAAGGTCTATTTCATTAATTAGGGCCTGAGTAGATTCGGGAGATTGATTTTTAAA